ACTTTGCCTGAATTCTTTCTTGTGTGAAGACAAGAGCCCCACGGCTCCCACAGCCTGTTCTCTGGTGACATATCCATGAGGGAGACCCAAAAGAAGCTCCTGGCTGATGGTTGCAGCCTGGCTCAGCGCTGGCCATTGTGGTCACTCTGGGAGACCTCTCTGTGTATGTCTCCTCTTTCTCTCTGTAACCCCGCCTTTCAAATAAATGAAATAATAACAGTAATAAAAAAAAAAGACAGCCCCCCCCCCCGGCTTAACTGGCACCTCCTCCCTTGGAGTCCGGCTCCTGTCTGCTGTGGTGGCAGCTTTTCGCTGTCAATAGATTCTTTGCTCACTGTCCATGTGGAAATTCTTTGCCGTGACAAGAACTGAGATCAACACTCCTGCCTGCACGTAGAGAGAGTGCACAGTCACTCAGACTGGGGGAGAGCGAGGTTACATGGCTGAGTGGAGAGAGTACACCTGGGCAGGCAGGCGGGCGGCTCAGCAGAGAGGGGATGGGTCCTGCCTTCCCGCCTCTGCTCCTCCTGGAACAAAGGGCTTTTTGTTTTTATTTATTTATTTATTTTTTTATTTTTATTTTTTTTTGACAGGCAGAGTGGACAGTGAGAGAGAGAGACAGAGAGAAAGGTCTTCCTTTGCCGTTGGTTCACCCTCCAATGGCCGCCGCGGCCGGCGCGCTGCGGCCGGCGCACCGCGCTGATCCGATGGCAGGAGCCAGGAGCCAGGTGCTTTTCCTGGTCTCCCATGGGGTGCAGGGCCCAAGCACCTGGGCCATCCTCCACTGCACTCCCTGGCCACAGCAGAGGGCTGGCCTGGAAGAGGGGCAACCGGGACAGAATCCGGCGCCCCAACCGGGACTAGAACCCGGTGTGCCGGCGCCGCTAGGCGGAGGATTAGCCTAGTGAGCCGCGGCACAAAGGGCTTTTTGGATGTAAAACGAAAAGTTCCTTTCTGAGTTTCCCCCTTGAAGTTATCAGATAGGGGGAAGCCTGGCCAGAAGGACGGTTCTGGGGTAGAAGGGGCGGGTGTTTGAGTGCAGATCCTGGCTGCACCTGGAAGGTTGTCGGGATGACTTTGAGATGCGGATGCTGGACCTGGATGTCAGTGCCTTAGGCCTTCGTCACACACGTAAGCTCATTTCTGACTTCCTACCTAACAGTCCCGAGGACCCTGTCCCTGGGGATAGTCTCCTGACAGGGGTTCTTTAACTTGAAGGCTGAGCCATATCTGGGAATGACAGATTGGACCTGGAGCATTTATGTCTTTGTGTGGAGTTACAATCTCTGTCTTTGATATCCTAAGGGGCTTTGGTATGGTAGAGTGGAGATGCGTCCAGTGGTTGCGTTCCTACCACCCGTGTGGGAGACCGGGCTGGAGTCCCAGCTGTTCAGCTTTGGCGTGCCCACCCCCATCCCCACCCCCACCCCATGCCCCGATGCAGGCATTGGGGAGAGAATCAGTAGATATTAAAATTTATTTTTTAATAAGAATGGTTAAAAATAACCACATCGATAAACAGAATTCAAGAATAGGAACTTGTATTTTATAGACTAATGAATAGTTAGGATATTTAATTTAATTGAGACAGAATGTAAAAATGTATTTGAGGGCCGGCGCCGCGGCTCACTAGGCTAATCCTCCACCTAGCGGCGCCGGCACAGCAGGTTCTAGTCCCGGTTGGGGCGCCGGATTCTGTCCCGGTTGCCCCTCTTCCAGGCCAGCTCTCTGCTGTGGCCCGGGAGTGCAGTGGAGGATGGCCCAAGTGCTTGGGCCCTGCACCCCATGGGAGACCAGGAGAAGCACCTGGCTCCTGCCTTCAGATCAGCGCGGTGCACCGGCCGCAGCGCGCCAGCCATGGCGGCCGTTGGAGGGTGAACCAACGGCAAAAAGGAAGACCTTTCTCTCTGTCTCTCTCTCTCACTATCCACTCTGCCTGTCAAAAAAAAAAAAAATGTATTTGAGAAGCAGAGACACAAGGACAGAGAGAAACGGACATCTTGGGGCCGGCGCTGTGGGCAGCAGGTTAACCCTCGTCTGCAGGGCTGCCATCCCATATGGGCGCCAGTTCAAGTCCTGGCTGCTCCTCTTCCAATCCAGCTCTCTGCTGTGGCCTGGGAAAGCAGTAGAAGATGGCTCAAGTCCTTGGACCCCTGCACCTGTGTGGGATACCGGAAGAAGCTCCTGGCTCCTGGCTGGGGAATGAACCAGCGGATGTAAGACCTTTCTCTCTGTCTCTCCTCTCACTGTAACTCTACCTCTCAAATGAATAAATAAATCTTAAAAAAAAAAAAAAAAAAAAAAAACCGAGAGAGAGGGAGAGAACATTTTCCAACTGCTGGTTCACTCCCTAAATGCCCATGATAGCTATGGCTGGGCCAGGCTGAAGCCAGGAGCCATGAGCTCCCTCGGGGCCTCCCACCCGGGTGGCAGTAACCCGAGCGCGGAGCCATCACCTGCTGCCTCCCAAGGTGCACATCTGCAGGACACTGGAAGCAGAGGCAGAGCCAGGACTTGAACCCACTCAGATCTAGGATGCAGGTGTCCCACGCAGTTTCTTAACCGCTTTGCCAAATGCCCACCCCCTTAACTGTCTCTAAAGGGCCCCGCCTACATGCGTCTCTGGAGCCGTCAGAGGGTCTTCTGACTAGCGTGTGCTCAGGCAGTGTCAGCCCCTGAGGTGGTGCAGCCAAGAGAGCCCAGAGCGTGTTCAGCACAGTGGGGCCACACCCCTGGCTGCCTTGATTGCCTCTCCAAGGGCTTATGCAGGGAGGGTGAGGCAGGGGCCCTGATGTGAAGACTGCTGCTTTGCAACAAATCAAAGCTCAGAACTTTTTAAGATTTATTTATTTATTTGAAAAGCAGAGTTACAGAGACGCATAGGCAAAGGGAAAGAGAGAGGTCTTCCATCCACTGGTTCACTCCCAGATGGCAATGGCCAGAGCTATGCCCGTCCAAAGCCAGCAGCCAGGAGCTTCTTCCAGGTCTCCCACGCGGGAACAGGGGCCCGAGGACTTGGACCATCTTCCACTGCTTTCCCAGGCCACAGCAGAGAGCTGGATTGGAAGAGGAGCAGCCGGGACTCGATCCGGTGCCCATATGGGATGCCGGTACTGCAGGTGGCTGCTTTACCTGCTACGCCACAGCGCCGGCCCCCAAAGCTCAGAACTTCAAACAAGAGGTGTGTGTTGCCCTTGTACAAGTCAGCTGGGGCGGCGGGGGGAGGGGGGGCGGGTTCTGGTCCTGGCCAGCCTCACAGGCTGGGGTCTGTGGTTCTAGGGCAGTCTAGCATGGCTCCTGGGACAACTGTCTCTCTTCCACACGGTGCCTTCTCCCAGCCGGACACCTTGGTCGGCTCACACAGGGCCTGGGCAGGGTTTCAGGAGAACAAGTAGAGGCCAGCACTGGGCATAGCAGGTAAAGCTGCCACCTGCAGCACTGGCATCCCATATGGGCACCAGTTCAAGTCCTGGCTGCTCCACTTCCCATCCAGCTCTCTGCTATAGCCTGGGAAAGCAGTATAAGATGGTCCAAGTCCTCGGGTCCCTGCACCCATGTGGGAGACCCAGAGAAAGCTCCAGGCTCCTGTTCGAATCAGCCCAGCCCCCGCCATGGTGGCCATTTGTGGAGTGAACCAGTGGATGGAAGACCTCTCTCTCTCTCTCTGCCTCTGCCTCTCTGTAACTCTGTCTTTCAAATAAAGAAATACATCTTTAAAAAATAAATAAATAGGCCGGCGCCGCGGCTCACTAGGCTAATCCTCCACCTTGCGGCGTCAGCACACCGGGTTCTAGTCCCGGTCGGAGCGCCGGATTCTGTCCCGATTGCCCCTCTTCCAGGCCAGCTCTCTGCTGTGGCCAGGGAGTGCAGTGGAGGATGGCCCGAGTATTTGGGCCCTGCACCCCATGGGAGACCAGGAGAAGCACCTGGCTCCTGCCATCGGATCAGCGCGGCGCGCCGGCCGCAGTGCGCCGGCTACAGTGGCCATTGAGGGGTGAACCAACGGCAAAGGAAGACCTTTCTCTCTGTCTCTCTCTCTCACTGTCCACTCTGCCTGTCAAAAAAATAAAATAAATAAATAAATAAATAAATAAGCTGGTGCCACGGCTCAATAGGCTAATCCTCCGCCTGTGGCACTGGCACCCAGGGTTCTAGTCCAGGTTGGGGCGGTGAACCAACGGAAAAAGGAAGACCTTTCTCTCTGTCTCTCTTTCTCACTGTCCACTCTGCCTGTCAAAAATAAATTAAAAAAAGAAAAATAAATAAATAAATAAATAAATAAATAAAAGAGAACAAGTAGAAGCTCCAAGGCCACTTGAGGCTCAGGCTCAGAACTGGGCCACTGGGCACCGGGGCCGGCACTGGGGTCGGCACCGGGGTGCAGCAGGTTAAGCTCTGCCGGCAATGCCAGCATCCCATACAGGCACCAGATGGAATCCTGGCTGTTCCCTTTCTGACCCGGTTCCCTGCTAATGGCCTGGGAAAAGCAGCGAAAAATGGCCCCAGAGTTTGGGCCCCTAAACCCACAGAGGAGACCCAGGAGAGATCCTGGCTCTGTTGTGACCATCTGGGTAGTGAACTAGCAGATGATGGTTCTCTGTCTCTGTCTCTCCCTCTCTCCATGTAATTCCAACTTTCAAATAAATAAATAATCCTTAAAAAAAAAAAAACAACCGGGGCACTGTCACCTCGGCTGCAGCCTACTAACGAAAGTCAGGAGGCCGTACCAGAGGCACAGACACGGGGTGCAAATGTAACCTCTTGACTGGGGGTGTAGTCACAAGTGGAGGTGTGGACGCAGGGAGACACCTGCCGTCCATCTACCCACAACACCTACCCTTAGGCCACACCTTCAGGGGACAGTGCCAGGCCTGCTCCCACCCAGGTAGGCATGGCAGAGTGGGGAGGGCAGCTTGCATTGTTGCCGGCAGCACTCGGGTTTGTGGGGGCCCAGGTTCCTCCGGCAGGGGCCGGCCTGGTAGAAGGCTCCCGCCCCTCCTTGCCGCCAGGCTTGCTCAGGCCACCGTGCAGACCCCTCATCCCCCACGCCAGCTCCACACGTTCAGGGTCAGTGGGGCTGCAGCACCTGTTGCATGTTCCTGAGACTGGACCTGCTACCCCGCTGGAGGTCGGCACAGGCTGCAGCCACCCTCCTTCGGATCGCCAGTTCCAGGAGCTAAGAAGTCCCCTTTCAAAGCCCCCAGGGCTGCAGGGGTCTCTGGATCAGCAACCATTGATGTACCCCTCAATGTCAGATAAAGCGGGCTTACACATCACAAGGTGGCAAAACTTTTATTTGTTGAGACGGAATTTAATCTGCTCCCAGCTCGGATTCAACAGCGACGGGAATCCCTCTTTACCACCCCGGCTTGCGGGAAGTCTGATAGGATGCAGCATAGTGGAGGGCTCCACTTCCATCTGTTCTTGTCAGTGCCGGGATGCCCCCTTCCTGAGTGCTCCCTGGGACCGAGGTGGCCTCTCTGCAGGCCCCAGGAGGAAGGGGAAGGTGTGGGGGGTCTCTCTCCTAGACACAGCTCCCGGCCTGTTTACTCCCTTCCCCCGGGACGGGACTGCCCGTAAGGTAATGTGCTTTACCTTTTTAAAATTTATTTATTTCAAAGGCAGAGAGACAAAGACGGAGAGGGAGGTCCTATTCACGGGTTCCCTCCCCTGCGGGTAACAGCAGGGGCTGGGCCAGGCGGAACCAGGAACCGGGAGCTCAGTCCAGGCCTGCACGTGGGTGGAAGGACCCAGCCATTTCAGCCACCAGCTGCTGCCTGCTTGCCAGGGTGCCGGGTAGCTGGATTTGGAAAAGGCGCCCGGCATTCAGGGTGGGCCTCGGCGGCTAGGCCAAACACCTGCCCCATTCTTTACTTTTCCTGCTGTTTTTCCATCCTGGTTCCTGCCGGGGGCCAGCTCATGCCTCCAAGCAGTCCCGGTTTTGCTGAAGCAGGGCTCCTGCAGTGATGCGGAGAGGATGTGGGGGTGCTCAACTTGGGGGCGGCCTCACCCTTGCCTGGCATTGTGAGGGCTGCAGGGGACAGGCCCCGGAAGGGCCAGTCCTTAGCTGTTGCCCAAGAATCCTGCCCACTTTCCTTGGCCCGTTTCGCAGGAGAAGAAACCCGCCTAGGGGAACAGGGTGGGGACTCCAGGTTCTGGGAGCTCCAGAGGTCAGGGGCCGAGAACGCCTTGCCCTGGACCGCGGGGAAGGGCTGGGACCCGGGCCAGCGCGGCCAGATTTAGCATGTGAAAATACAGGGCACCCAGTCAAACTTTAATTCCATATGAAGAGCGGACACTCCTCCAGCGTAAGTTTCTCCCGTGCCGTAACTGGGCGTCTCGCCTCTGCTCTGGCCAGTCTGCTCCGGGCAGGTGGCGACGGTGGAGAACAGGTGCGCGCCGCCGGCCGCGCGCGCCGCCCGGGCGGGGCTCAGGCGGCCTCGAGGCGGGGCGCGGGCCCGGGAGGGGCGTCCCCGCGCTGCAGCGCCCGCAGCCTGCGCTCCCGGCTCCGCCCCAGCTCCTACCAGTGCTGCGCCTCCGCCGGACCCTGTCGGGCAACGCGCGGCGGAGCGTCACCCCCGCGGCCTCCCGCGCTCACCGCCCCGCCAGGGCCTGGCCCCCTGCCGGCCCAGCGTCCACAGCCCCTGCCCGCGGCGCCGGGACCCCCTGCTCACCGCGGCCGGGGGTCGCGCTGTCCTCGGCGCCACCACGTGCAGCAGGGCCGCCTGCCTGCGGCGCTCGGTCGCCCGCTCCTCCACTCTGCGCCGCAGCTCCTGCACGCGCTCGTCCCCGGAGCGGTCCCTCGGGGCCGCCGCCTGCGCTTTCTTCTCCTCCCACCTGGCCGGCAACAGGGCGGGTTTAGGAGCGGCGCCAAGGCCTGACCCGGCCCCGATGGGACACCGGCCCAGGCCCAGATGGCCGCCATGGCGGGGGCTGAACTTCACCCAGGTCTCCTACGTAGGGGGCGGGGGCTCAGGGACTTGGGCCATCTTCCGCTGTGTCCGAGGCCCATTGGCAGGGAGCCGGATAGGAAGAGGAACAGCTGGGACCCGAACCCGCGTCCTGTGGGATCCCAGAGTCATAGGAGGCAGCCTGTGCCACACGCTGGCCCCAACATTTCTTTAAGCATTATGTATTAACTACACGTAAAACTGGGGTAAAATGTGGACGGCAGGGCAGGTGCAGCAAGGTGACAGCCCTGCATCCCACGTGGGAGTGCAAGTTGTAGTCCCGGCTGCTCTGCTTCTGATCCAGCTCCCTGCTCCGGCTCCTGGGAGGCAGTGGGGATGTCCCCACCCGGGTACTTGGATCCCTGCCACACTCCGGGGAGACCGGGATGGAGTTCCTGGCTCCTGGCTTCCACCTGGCCCAGCCCCGGCTCGACCATTGGATAGAAGGTCTCTCTCTCTCTCTCTCTCTCTCTCTCTCTCACTCTTTTAAGCGATGGGGAAGCCCCTTTGTCACCTCCCTGCTCTCTGGGGTCCCCACTGACAGCCTGTGGTGTGTGCCCTCAGGCCATCGCTGGAGGCGCATCACAGCGCCCGGGATTCGTAGGGGCTGTTCCCCGTCTCTGTCCACTAAAATGCTCCTGGTGAGTTGCTGCCACGGGATCGGCCCCACTCATGAGGGCGCTCCCGGAACGTCGGTGGCACCTGCTGGCTCTTGGAGTCCTCCGGGCTGAGGCCAGCCGCTGGCAAGTGGTGAGGTTTCCCACGTGTGTGCCGCCTCGGGGGCCTGCCAGCGGCCAGCCCGCAGCGGTGTGGATTGAACCAGAGTAGCAGTCACTCGGAGGGACAGTGGTGACGGGTTCTCTGCTAGGACACTCACCTGGGCCCTGTGGCCACTGTCGTCACCCACTACTCAGACACGCGCTCTGGAGCCCTGTGTGCCAGGCTCAGAGCCAGGTCCGGGTGCTGCCTCCCTAGGCGTCAGGCCAGGGCCCACGGAGGTTGGGAAAAGCCACCACACAGTCCCCAAAACCAAATAAAGGGGGGGGGGGTTGCCCACAGGGGTATGTGTGACTCTCAGCCAGAGGCTGGTTAGAAAACTGTTGCAGCAAATGCTGTCTAAAATTCTTAGCCAAGTCTGGGGGCCCCTGGAGAAATGTGGATACAGACAAGATATTCAGGTGATGTTGCAAATTTCTGCGAATTTTTCTGGCTGTTCATGGTGCTGTGGTTATGTAGGACAATGCTGTCACGAACGCGTTTAGGAGCAAAGCCTCGGAGGCCTGCAGCCCCTTCCAACAGCCAGCAAGCGAGGCAGAGCCCCGGGGGGGTCACACTCAGGCAGCATCTGTGTCACGCACAGCTGCACCCGACCTTCCCACCGGTTCTGGGCCTGGGAGCCACCCAGTGCAGCAGTAGGGGCGGGGGTCGTTAGAGACCTGGTGGGCAGGAAGCTGGGGGGCCCACCCAGGAGGGCAGGGGCCGCCTGGACCCGGACCCCCTCGCCCTCCACACGGACCTCAAGGCTGCGGCCCGTCCCATGGCCGCTCGGCACAGCGAGATCTGCTCCAGCGTGGTGCGCAGCTCCTGGCTCCTGGCGCGCTTGCCCTGGATGATCTGATCCCGCTTCTCCTCCTCCTGGCGCCGCTGGCTCTCTCTGAGCAGGGCCAGGCGCTCACGCAGCTCCACCACCGACATCTCCCCTTCCAGGCCGTACCCTGGGATCTGGGGGGGGAGGCCGCAGACTGGGAGCTGGGCTGGGCCCGGGCGGAGCCCACACAGCCCTCCCTTGTGTACCGTGCTGGGTTCCTGCTTGGGTAACCGGCTGCTGTGCCCTGCCCCGCCCCAGCTTCTCTGCCTCTCTGCCCCCAGGGTCACCATCTGTCCCAGTGTGGGGCTAGCGGTGAGTTCCAGGACCAGCGCGGCCTTTGTGGACAGCCGGCGGCGCCCGAGGAGGCTCCTCACCTGGGTCAGGTCCACCAGCTTGCCCTTGCGCGTGGGCTGCGTCTCCAGCGCCCGCCGCTGAGAGGTGAGCTCCCAGCGCCGCCTCTGCTCCTCCCTGGCCGCCTCCGCGGTGCGCTGCAGCAGCTCCCGGCTCTCCTCCGCCACTTCCTGAACTTGGGGGCCAGGCGGGGTGCTGAGGGGGCACCCACGGGCCAGGGCCGCCACCTAGGAGGTCCTGGGCCGCCCCCGCCTCCCGCTCCCTGTGGTAGCTTGCTCGGGCCCCCGGGGGTGCTGGGCAGGGCCATGGGCCCTGGCTGCCCCGGTACCTATCTGCCGCCGGTCCTGGACCAGCTTCGCCTGAGCCGCCTTCACGTTCTTCTGCGCCTCCACCACCTGCTGCACCAGCTCTCTCACCGACCGCTCCTCCTGCAGCCGCCTCGCTGCACACTGCCGCATCAGCTCTGCCGTCTGCTCGGACAGAGGGCCGCCGTGGTGAGCCTGCTCCCTCTGGGCCTGCCCCAGCTCAGGGAGCAGCACCGGGTGTAGGGGTGGACCCCACCCACCCCTGAATTGCCCTGGGACCCAGATCTAAGCCCACCAGCTCCGGGGGGGGGGGGGGCTCCACCCCACGTCCGCCTCCTGGTGGTGGTGTAGGGGTGAACTTCTGCCCTAAGCCACCCTGTTAGTGGTGCTTGGTTACGGCAGCCTGGAAGGCTAATGGGAACCGTGCACGGTAGAGGCACCGGCTGGGGAGTACATGGGAGCTGGCCGAGCTCTGCTGTGACGTTTCTGTAAATCTCAGCTCCATCCCAAGATTAAAAAAATACTCTCAAAGCTTCCTGAGAGGTTGGAGAACTGTGTGCGGAACCAGGAGGTGGGCCGGCGACTGCCAGCAGCGCGGGGGTCTTGAGGAGGTAAGCAGTGCAGAGGCCCCACCCCCACCCCAGCTCCCACCAGCAGCTCCTGTGAACCCACTGGGAAGGAGGTGCAGCCTGGGTCTGTGCAGGAGGTGCCGGCTCGGGAGCGGGAGGCGTGGGGCTTTGGGTTCTGCTTCCGTGAGCCCAGCCAGCTGCGTGGCCTCAGGCAGGTCACAGGCCTCCTGGAAGAGGCTGCGCTGGGTGCGGGCCCAGCAGGGGGCAGGGTGCACAGTCACCTTCAGCAACTGCATTGCATCAGCACTGGGAGACGGCGGGGCAAGGAGAAGAGGTGCGCCAACTGGGAGGACAGCCGCAGTGCCTGGCCCGCGACGAGGCGGTGGTCACCTGGCCCGTGTCCAGGGGAGGTCGCCCAGCTCTGTCTGCCCCCAGGCAGCTCCGAGTCCCGGTGCAGCCTTGGAGCCCACTCTGGCGGTCCTGCCAGGCTTCCCCACATCCCCGTGGCCCCTCCACAGCAGAGCACCCCTCGCCCAGGGGCTGCCCACGAGCTCACCCACAGTGGGAATTTGCCGTTACCTACCCAGAGACACCTCGTAATGAAAGCCAACACAGAACACAGAACAGCCCTGGCATGACCCTGGTGCCACAGACTGAGCAGACCTGACCCAGGGCACAGGTAAGCAGCGCGGACAGAGCACGGAGCTGGGCACGGGTAAGCAGCGCGGACAGAGCACGGAGCTGGGCACGGGTAAGCAGAGCGGACAGAGCACGGAGCTGGGCATGGGTAAGCAGACCCAGCTGAGCACAGAGCTGGGCACGGGTAAGCAGACCCAACTGAGCACGGAGCTGGGCACGGGTAAGCAGCGTGGACAGAGCACGGAGCTGGGCACGGGTAAGCAGACCCAGCTGAGCACGGAGCTGGGCACGGGTAAGCAGCGCGGACAGAGCACGGAGCTGGGCACGGGTAAGCAGAGCGGACAGAGCACGGAGCTGGGCACGGGTAAGCAGCGTGGACAGAGCACGGAGCTGGGCACGGGTAAGCAGACCCAGCTGAGCACGGAGCTGGGCACGGGTAAGCAGAGTGGACAGAGCACGGAGCTGGGCACGGGTAAGCAGACCCAGCTGAGCACGGAGCTGGGCACGGGTAAGCAGTGTGGACAGAGCACGGAGCTGGGCACGGGTAAGCAGACCCAGCTGAGCACGGAGCTGGGCACGGGTAAGCAGAGTGGACAGAGCACGGAGCTGGGCACGGGTAAGCAGCGCGGACAGAGCACGGAGCTGGGCACGGGTAAGCAGTGTGGACAGAGCACGGAGCTGGGCACGGGTAAGCAGAGTGGACAGAGCACGGAGCTGGGCACGGGTAAGCAGCGTGGACAGAGCACGGAGCTGGGCACGGGTAAGCAGTGTGGACAGAGCATGGAGCTGGGCACGGGTAAGCAGACCCAGCTGAGCACGGAGCTGGGCACGGGTAAGCAGACCCAGCTGAGCACGGAGCTGACCACATGTACTTGAAGAATGCTCGCCCGGCAGCCCGACAGCCTGCGGGCTGTCACCCAGTGGGCTTAGGGTTAACGCTGGGACGTCCACCCTGGAGCCAGTCTGCTGTGACAGTGAGTGAAAACCCCAGTAACGAGGGCTGAGCGCAGTGGGTGAAGTCACTGCGGGGACGCCGACTCCCGTACCAGAGCCCCGGTTCAAGTCCCGGATGCTCGGCACTTCTGGTGCTGCTTCCTGCAGATGCGCCTGGGAAGGCAGCAGACGCTGCGCCCACGTGGGACCTGGCTTGGGGCCCTGGCCCAGCCCAGCCCGACCCAGCCCGGCCCAGCCCCGGCCGTTGTGACCTTCTGGGGAGTGAACCAGTGGAGGGGAGATCTCTCTCTCTCTCTGCCTTTTAAATAAATAATTTTTTAAAAAAGTCTAATTATCTGAGCTTTATTCATGTTATTCAATATATCTATTTGTATGGTTCATCAAATTATTTTACAAAGGAGATAAAATTCTTGAGGTGAGAAAAATACATTAAAGGCGTTTAAGACAATGTTAATGTCAACTTAAAATATTGTTACACTCAAGATTTTAAAATATATCCTAAGGCCAGCATTGTGGCATAGCAGGTAAAACTACCGCCCGTGATGCCAACATCCCAGATGGGTGACAATTCAAGTCCCTGTTATTCTGCTTATTTTTTTCTCTTTCTTTCTTTCTTTCTTTTTTTTTTTTTTTTTTGACAGGCAGAGTGGACAGTGAGAGAGAGACAGAGAGAAAGGTTTTCCTTTTCCGTTGGTTCACCCCACAATGGTCGCTCCAGCTGGCATGCTGCGGCCGGCGCACCGCACTGATCCGAAGGCAGGAGCCAGGTGCTTCCTCCTGGTCTCCCATGGGGTGCAGGGCCCAAGCACTTGGGCCATCCTCCACTGCACTCCCTGGCCACAGCAGAGAGCTGGCCTGGAAGAGGGGCAACCGGGACAGAATCCAGCGCCCCAACCGGGACTAGAACCCGGTGTGCCGGCGCCGCAGGGCGGAGGATTAGCCTGTTGAGCCGCAGCACCGGCCTGTTCTGCTTATGATACAGCTCTCTCTAATGGCCAGAGAAAAGCAGTGGAGATGACCCAAGTGTTTGTTTGGGCCCCTGCCACCCCTGTGGAGACCCCTTCACCTGGATTTTGGCTTTGGCCTGGCCCAGTGCTGGCTGATGTGGTTATCTGGGGAGTGAACCAGCAGATGCAAAATCTCTCTCTCTGTCAATCTGACTCAAATAAATTTTAAAAAATTAGCTTTGTGTAGCCATTCCATAATGTATATACATTTTATATGGTTTGAAGACTTATTTATTTGAAATGCAAAGGACAGAGAGGGAGAAATAGAGAGAGCTCTCTCATTTTCTGATTTACTCCCAAATGCCCACAAAAGCCAGGGCTGGGCCAGGTTGAAGCCAGGAGTCAGGAGCTCCATCCGGGTCTCCCGTGAGGATGGCAGGAAGCCAAGCACTTGGGCCATCACCGGCTGCCCCATGATGCACTAGCAGGAGGCTGGGATTCAGCTGGCATTGCAGAAGGGACACAGGCCTCCCAAGCAGCAGCTTAACCTGCAGGGCCACAACAGCTGCCCCGTGCGCGTATTTTAAAACGCCATGTTTTGTGCCATGAATGTGTCTTGTCCACTTAAATAATCAAGTACATGAAACAAATAACTCCATTTCCTCCCAAGTCTAGGAAGTGAAAATCAAAAGCTCAGTAGAAAATGGAGAAGATAATTCACCAAAAAAAAAAAAAAAAAGGATAAAGGACTGAAATAAGTGAAATTATGCTCAAATTCACACAGAAAAATGAAATGCAAATCAGAATTTTCCCAAGATAGCATCCGTCACCAAGAGAGTGGCAAAAACTCGGAAATTCAGAACAGAACCCGGTGCAGTCGGGCGCAGGGATCTGGCCCTCTCACTGCTGGGCTCGTGAGGATGGTCCCCGTACCCCAGCAACGGCAAGACCCCTCCGTCGGGGAACGGTTCGGCTCAGCGCCCTCGGGAAAGTCCCTGCAGATACAGCTCCGCTGCACAGCAGTATTCACTGCACAGGAAGCCGGGGCGACGGACGGAGCACAGGGAAGTGTGTCCCCGGAGGAGAAAGAGCGGCCCTGGCACGTCGGGGCCCTGCTCCCGAGGGAGACAGCACTATGCGCAAGTAGGCCGGCTTCCAGAAGCTTCCGCCAGAACCCAGGGCTTCTCTCAGAGGTGCCTGGGGGTCTGTGGACCAACCGACCCTGCTGGTGGGGCAGGGATGGGGGCAGCAAGACCACAGTCAGCCTGTGGGTCCTAGGAGGAAAGACCAGGGCGACCCCGAAATCCAACGGCCATGGGAGCCGCCGGCCCCACAGCCTGCCCGTTGCTGCACGGTCACCTCCTCCTTCTTCTGGTCGGCCTTCTGCCTGTTCTCCTGCACGTGGCTGTGCCGGGCCAGCACCGCCTCCTGCTGGCTGAGCTTCCCCCGCAGCCGCCGGCACTCGTCCGCGGCCAGCTGCTCCTCCCGGTCCTTGGCCAGCATCTGCTTCTGCCACTCCAGGAACTCAGAGATGTCCCCGGCCCCGTCCACAAGCTGGTCAACCCTAGGGAAGGAGGTACAAGGCACAGCTTTCGATCTCTCCTGTGATCTGGGCCACCAGGACCACAGATTTCCCCGTGGGGTGGTGGGCTGTGGTCACTCAGCACCCGGCCACACTGCCCAGCCCCAGCCCCACCCCTACCACCCCCCACTGCCTGCCGGGCCCCTCCTGACACAGCCTCCCACCGGGACCTTCAACCGTGCCTACCCTTGCTCTGTCTACCTGTCTACTGCTCCTCCCCCCACCTCTCCTTCCATCAACTCTGTCCTGCTGTCCACCACCTGTCTGGCCACCACATCCCCATCCAGCCAGTCAACCACCCAAGCTGCCACCCACAGCCCAGCCTGCATACATGGAAAGACCAGTGCACGCATGACATAAGCACAGGGCCGTCTGGGAGAGGGGCCCTGGGAAGGGGTCCATGGAAGAGGGGAAGCCGGGGCGGCCCAGGTATTTGCTGCTGCCGCCTGCCCCAGGCTCCCTCGCTGAGCTGTTCTCTTGTAAGATGGGGCCTCAGCCCTGACATAGGCCTGCCGGCCATCCGCTGGCCATCTGCACCTCTGCAGGACTACGGCCTGGTCACGACCTCTGTGATGTCCTGAACTGTACTTGACCTTCGGCCTGCTTCCTGGCATACAGCTCTTTTTTTTTTTAATTTTTTTTTTTTGACAGGCAGGAGTGGACAGTGAGAGAGAGAGACAGAGAGAAAGGTCTTCCTTTTTTGCCGTTGGTTCACCCTCCAATGGCCGCCGCGGCCGGCGCGCTGCAACCAGCGCACCGCGCCGATCCGATGGCAGGAGCCAGGTACTTATCCTGGTCTCCAATGGGATGCAGAGCCCAAGGACTTGGGCCATCCTCCACTGCACTCCCTGGCCACAGCAGAGAGCTGGCCTGGAAGAGGGGCAACCAGGACAGAATCCGGTGCCCCGACCGGGACTAGAACCGGGTGTGCCGGCGCCGCAAGGCGGAGGATTAGCCTAGTGAGCCGCGGTGCCGGCCGGCATACAGCTCTTAAGGCCCTAGGAGGCTTCAGCGTGGTAAGTGATGCATTGACTCCTGGGTAGCTGCAGGATGGGTTACGGGTCACCAGGAAAACCAAGGCAGGACTCCAGGGTTGCAGTCAGCCCCACCCCCAACCTCCAGGGGAGGGGCTAACGGTTGATTACCAATGGCCAGCGATTTAATCAATCATGCCTATGTGATAAAGCTTCCATCAACCCCCTAAGGCTAGGGTTGGAGAGCTTCCGGGTAGCCAAGCAGGTGGGTGGCCCTGGAGGTGGAATGCCCCTTCCCTCGCCTCCCCCCATGCATCGTCCTCTGTGTGCTCTGTAATGTCCTTCCTAATGAACGTGTAGTCCTGAACTCCAGCAAATTAACGGGACCTGAAGAGGGGAGAGTGGGAAACCCAACTGGCGCCGGCGGTCCCAGGCACAGGCAAACAACCTCGGGCTTGCATGTGGCCTGTGGAGGCGCGCAGGTCTTGAGTTCTGTGTGGTCTGAAGCTACTCCAGGAGGACAGCGGCAGGCTGGGCCGAACTGGAGGACGCCTGCAGACCACTGCTGCAGCACTGCGCGTGTGGTGTGGGGGACCCTCCGTGCCTGGCGTCAGCGATGTGCTGCTGGGGGACGACGCAGGATAAACTGAGTTGGAGTCTGCTGTCTTGTCCCCCCAGGAGCTTCAGATTCGGGGCCAGGAGTGGGATTTGCCGGCCTGGCTCGGATTCACAGAAACGTCCGGTCGGGAAGAAAAACGAGAAAACGCTGGGGCACGAGGAGCCTTGGATTCCTGGGGGCCACGTGGTTCTCCATGGAGGGAAAAGTCACCAGTGGAGTTTAGAGGCTTCCAGCTGCCAGGGAGCCGGTTCACCGGATCCACTAGGAAATGCAGACCAATCGAAGTAACCGGGATATCCTATCTCTCGATTGTCCTTAGCTGTCAGAGCGGAAATGAGGTTGCAGGAGGGCTAGGTTGGACCTTGGCATAGATTTCAAGGCCAAGTATGGATTTCAGCTGGTCCGGCTTTGACCCGTCACCCAGGGCAGCGCTATGAAGGGACAACAGAAGCTGAGCCCACACAGTACGTCTGATGTGGACACGAGACACCACGAGGCCCCAGTCTCAGCTTACAATCTGGTCCTGCCTCCAGGGTCCTTGCTAAAACTGATTTGAGGGAGAGGTACCCTCGGCCCCCTAGGGGCCCTGGGCACACGACTCACGAGTTCATCATGTCCCCTATAGAAGCATTGTGATGTCGGCCTGGTCCCGAGGGCTTTCCCGTATGGGATGCTGGCACTGCAGGCGGCGGCTTTCCCCGCTACGCCACAGCGCTGGCCCCTCTGCTTGGGATTTTGGGGAAGTAAACCAGCATATGGAGTTCCCTCCTCCTGACTCTGCCTCTCAGGAAAGAACTGGTTTTACTACAACACTACTGAAGGATGGGTGGACCACAGGGAGCTCCCGCTGGTCCCACACCATTAAAAGGCCCAAACACGTTTGCTGCGTTGGCCCCAGTTTGCAGAAATTTAGAAAGTCACCAGGCAAGAACTAAACGAGATGTCCATGTGCAGCGGCCTGGAGGCAGGCGGATTAATCAGCGTGAGGGCCAGGGCTTCCTCAGCGCAGCCCTCCTGCTGCAGACCCACAGCTTTTTGTACCAGAGGAGAAAGCTCCTGAGAGCAGAGTGTCGCGTGGACAGGACGACACCGCCAGGTGCTCAGCAGGCTTTCTGTAAAGGAGCTGTCTCTCTACCTGCCTGTGCCAACAACGTTTGAACCAAAACCTGTTGGTAAGGCTTGAACGGAGGCTACAGTTGGGACAGCCATCACACGTCCCTGGGGAGTGTTGGCCCAGTGAAGTGGATGATGCAGCCAACACCAGAGACAACACCCAAGCCACACGCACCGCCCAGGGCCCATGGCCCACAGTGTGGCACGCCCACTCCTCCTCATGCAGCTAGGCTTTGCTGTCCATCACGCTCCGGACCCCACGACACCTTCCTGGCGACCATAGCGTGCACGGCAGCCCCACCCCACGTCTGTCTCCTGGGGCTGTAATCGGTTCCTGCTCCGAGCACCACCTGTACCTATAAAAGGATGACCCAGACCGATGTGGCCAGTTCTCTTCCTGGATGCTGCCGGCGCTCCTGCCTGTGTGTGTGCTCTGTGTGCTGCCCCTCGGCCTTTCAGTAAATCCCGCCTCCTGCTCCGGGTGTCCCAGTTGTGTTCCTACCGGTAGGAAGACAAGACCCTGAACCAAGTTTAGCTGGGGGTCTCTCTGAGCCTCGCGAACCCCACAACAGTAGTACTGTCAAACCTGCCCTGCAGGCCACATAAATTGGGGGCACTAAACGGGGACCAGTAGGATTGTCCGAGCCCATGCTGCGTAGAACAGACACTGGCACTTGGCTGGGACAGAGTCTGCCCTCGACACCCCTGTGTGACGTCTGCCGGCAACCGCCATGGGGTCGTGGGACTGGAGAGCTCCCCTTGGGGCACTCGGTGCCTTGCTATGGAACACAGCCGGCTCCTAAGCCACTCCTGTGACCGAAAGACACAAAACCAACACCCCTGCGCCTGTCCCAAGTGAGACCCAGACACGTCCCCTAATGAAACAGAAACGGTGCCCCCTGGGCGATCCGGGGAGCCTCTGTCCCCCAGGTCGACTCTGGAGCTGTGTGGGGAGCTGCTCGGCTCTCTGGCCACTTGGGCAGTGCCTCCTCCACAGTCCTCAGCTGGCCAGCAGAGAGCTGCCGGGCGTGCGGGAGGCGGCCAAGGTGACAGGCCCCCACCCTGTGTGCAGGACGACTAAGGCCGGGAAAAACTCGGCTCAGGAGTGACGGAGACAGCCCCCATGTTTGGGCTGTCCAGGCTCAGCCAGGCGCACCACGGACGCCAGTTTGCAGGCCCAGGGACACGTGAGGTGCCCCTTAAAGGAAGACACGTTCTGCGCCTGTGTGATTCTCGCCCAGGGAGGTGTGCACCGCGTAAGGATGATGGGTTTTTCTTCCTTCCTGCATCACCTCAATTTCCCCCACCGGCTGCTGCGGCCACAGGACCAGGAAGACGGACAGGCGCTGGAAGCGAGGGGCCGGGACTGTGCAGCCCCACGGACTTGCCCGAGCCCTCGAGGGGTGGCCGTGCCTCCACCCCGGCTGCTCAGGGTTCTGCTATCTGAGCGGAGTGGGCTACACCAGCAAAGCCGCCTGCAGTGTAGACCAGCACCGTCCCCCAAATAGGTGGAAAAATCTGGGTGTAAAGGAACGAGTATGTGGGTCACGTAATCAGTGCCAGAGAGCTCAGAGCCAGCGCCTGCTAGGGCTGCGCACCCGGGGGCCTCACAGGTACGAGGCCGACTGGACTGAGTGGGCTTCTGGGAGCGGGCAGTGCCTTCTGATGGGGGGGATTGTCTGAAGCAGGAGTGGAACGAGGTTGTGAGATACGTATTTGGTTTCTTGGCACTTAGCTCCTAAAATCTTGGAATCTTCACAGTGATGGTTAAAAAAGATTTTTTTTTTTTTTTTTTTTTTTTTTTGAGAGACAGACAGGGGGGAGAGAGAAAGCTTCCACTGGCCGGTTAAGCCCGAAATGGTCTGGATTGAGGCAGGAACTCAATCCAGGTCTCCCATCTGGGTGGCAGAGGCTCAGTTACTTGAGCCAGAAAGTGACAATGCCTTTTACTACCCTAGTGAGACGACTGAGGGAAAGCAGCCCCCGTGGCTCCAGGGTGGGGCTGGCCACCAAGGACCGAGGTGCGAGCAGAGGGCTGGGAATCCCGCTTCACCCCCCCCCCCCAGCCGCCCACCCTCCGGGAGGGGCGGGGCTGAACACTGCTCACCCTGGCAGACGAAGTCAGAAGTCATCGGTGGTGACTGGGTAATCAGAACCCACAGAACCGGCTCCGTGCCCCTCCCCGCCACCTCCACCATGCCTCTGCTCCTCTGGACTCCTTGGGAGGGCACTGACGATAAGTCAGCCAACCCGTTTCCCTGGGTTCTGGGAGCCCCCTGAGTTAGAGGTGCCCTGGGCAGGGCTGCGGGAACCCCGGTTTGTAGCACAGGAAACCCGTCTGGGGTTGTGACTGGTGTCTTGTGGGGAGGGTCTTGGGGACAGAGCCCTCGATGTGGGGTCTGGGTGCACGGCATCAGAGCTGAACCACACTTGCCCCGCTGGTGAGCGGCCAGTGGGGGCGGCTGGGCTCCAAGTTGCTTCCTTCCTCAGTATCTCCTAGGCGCTCTCTGCGGAGCCACCCACCCAGCCCCCAGCCCCCAGCCCCCGGGGCTCCCTCTGTGAAGGCGGGGCCGAGGGGAGCCTCAGACCTGCGCGCTCACCTTTGCAGCTCTCGCTCCACCTGCCGCTGGTATAAGGCCCCTTCCCGCAGGATGGCTGCGGTGTTCAGCTTGACGGGGGCGTTGTCCGGCTGTGGTGGGAGGGGAGGGCTGGCTGGGGCGGCCGCACACAGGAGCAGCAAGTGACCTCCTGCCCTCCTGCCCAGGTGCTTCCTCGGCCGCAAGGGTGTGGCAGTCCTTGGGGGTCTCTGGGCCGTCTGCCTCTGGGAGCAGGACAGGTGGGGAGGGGTGGGTGCCAGGGAGAGGGGCTGCGTGGCCAGGTGCACCCCTCACCCTGTAGAAGGTCAGCTTTGGAGTCTTTCGAATTCGAGGTGGGATCTGGGGTTGCAGCTGCTTCTTGCATTCCTGCAGAAACCAGGGCAGAGGCTGCAGCTTGGCGTACCCACAGGTGCCCCCAAGCACAGCTGGGTGTTGGCTCAGCGAGCCCTGGGAGACCACCCTGCTCCCCCGTCCTCCCACCCAGCCCCGCCTGCCCCGGCAGCATCTCTCCCCCAGTGCCTGGCCAAGCCCCCTTGCTTGGTGCTGCAAGGTGCAGGGCCTTTGGGGGGGCGGGGGTCCCCACACAAGATGGCCTGGCCTCAGGGCTCAGCACCCATCTTTCCAGTGCCCCCCACAGGGCTGCTCTCTGAACCCGTCTGCCCCTGCCCCACCTCCTGCTGCCCCGTTGACAAGCACCCAGGAGGTGGACACCATACCACCAGCCACGGTGTGGACAGCGCCTGCTGAGAGGCCACCGTGGGGGAACTCAGCCATTTAGACCCCCAGCCTCGGACCTGCTGTTAGCAGGTGCCTGACCCTGGACCTGCCCCGCAGCTGGGGAGGGGCCCCTCTGAGCCCCTGAGGGAGCATCGCCCATCAGACCAGCGATTCCTCCGCCTGCTCCCTGCTTGGCGTGTGGGCAGACACCTGGGTTTCCCTACAGGAGAACTCAGGGCTCAGAGAGAAGGGGACGTGCGGAGGACCCGGATCCCCTGGCCGAGGCTCGCTCTGCGAGGTGCAGTCCCCCATTCCGGGGGCCCCGTGTGGGGAGGGACGTTTGTGTGGTCACCACTGAGACTGGCCTTGGGATAGGGGGCCAGGCGCACCTGTGCCGGCTTCTCCCCGCGGGCCCTGGGCATCGCGCACCGCAGCTCCTCCAGGTTCGCCTTCAGCAGCAGCTCCTGAGCGGCAGCACACGGGTCCTGGGCTGCACCGGGCAACCGCCGACCGGCTGCTCCCTCCTTCCAGGGGCTCCCGGCTCACCTCGGCCCTGCGGCGGTTGTCTCTCTTGATCATCTCCAGCTGCTGCTGCTCCTTGGGCACCTGGTAGGTGCTCCGGGGCACCTGTGTCGGCGGGGGGGTTATGAGGACAATAGCCGGCCGAGGTCAGTGGCCTAGGCTCCTGGCTGAAGAAGCTGCAGATGGGGTAACTGTGGGGTTGCTCAGCAACAGGTCCCCATCGACCATCCACCCTCCTATCCATTCACCCACCCACCCACCTAACCATCCATCCACCATTCACCCACTTAACCATCCACCCACCCACCCACCTAACCATCCATCCACCATTCACCCACCCGTCCACCTATCCATCCAGGTGATTATCCACCCACCCAACCATGCACCCGCCCACCTATCGACCCACCCACCCAGCTACACGCCTGCACTCACTGCTTTCATCTTGGCCAAGCTGGGGACTGGCTCCGGCACTGGGATGGCGCGGGGCCTGGGGACGGTCAGGTTGAATTCCTTGGGCTCTGTGGCCTTAGCCTTGGACTTCAGAAGGGGGACTTGACATGCCGACACTCCCTCCAGCTGGCTGATCAGCTCCTGGACCTTCGGTTGCCATCTTGAGGGCAGACATGGAGAGCCTCTCAGGCCCCGAGCGTGGTGTCTACCTCGGGTGGGCCTCCTGCTCGGGGCACCGTGCCAGCCACACCCTGCAGCACCACTCTCAGTGTCCCTCTTGTACAGGTGGGGAAACTGAGGCGCAGAGGGACGGGGACATCGCTGCTGCAGGAGGGGGGGGTTTGGGGACGAGCAGCCGCTGGGACTTGGAGCTAGTCTGGGCCAGAGCAGACAGCACTGGCGAAGGAGGGCGGGGGTGGGGAGAGGGAGCCATCGAAGGCCAGGAGCGCTCCGGAGGGCAGCAGGTGGTGAGGCAGCTGGGGGGTCGGGCAGGGCAAGGGCGGCGTCCATTGCAGGGAGCCATCTGGGAGGGGGAGAGGGAGGGGGCGGTACGACTTGCAGAGCTCCTGCCTCACATAGCCACCCTGAGGTGGGAAGGCCACCTTAGGGCTGGCCCTGTGTTCCCGCCTTTGGGGCAGGAGGTATGGGATGGGACGCAGGGAATCCCGCATAGGAAGCTGCGGAACCCGACTGGGCAGCTGCCCAGAGGCAGCATTGCAGGCCATGGCCCTGCGGGCATCCTGTGGACAGGCAGTAGGTCCAGCCTGGTCATCGGGGAGGTGGGCCAGCAGGGCCATGCCCGCTGTTGTGCAGGCTTAGCCCGACTGCAGCAGTGTGCTGGCCCCTGCTGAGGACGTCCCTTGGTGCAGTGCAGCTCCCCCGCCCTGCCAGGCCTCCCGCTCACAGCTGGAACCCACTGGCCTCTCTGCTGACCCCTGGAGGCAAGGTGACCCCTGTGCTATCGGAGCCACAAGGCCAAGGGGGGATGAAGCGGGGATGCTGACCCTGGGCGGAGGCAGGGAAGGCCTGGGAGCAGGGCAGGGGGTCACTAGATTTAGGCTGGAACCCACCACAGCTGAACTGCTGGCTGCTCAGGCGGCCCCTGCCCTACACCCATCCTTCTTGGGGTCCACAGAGAGGCAGAGTGGGTGGGTTCCAGGGAAGAAGCTCACGGCCCCTGGTCCAGGCTGGCCCTGAAACCCAGCATGGAGAGAGCCAGAATGCTGGACCACAGCCGGCCCCTCTGCCCAAGGCCGTGGCCGCCCCCCAGTCTGGACACAGGGCTTCTGTAGCCCTCTCCCTCCCACACGGTGACTACAGACCCTCAGAGCTGCTGTGATCAGGGAGGGGGGCTGGGAGGTCCCGTGCCCACCGAGGCCCCCGTGTCTCCCACCTCATCAGGGGGTCGATCCAGTTCTCCTTCACGTAGTTTGTCTCGTAAATGAGGCTCCACTCGTCCTTGATCCAGGAACACAGGTTTACGGGGTTGAAGAAGAACCCGAGGAACTGAGGGAGGGTAGGGGCTGTCAGGGAGGCCGGAGCCTTGGCCCAGACCCCCAAGCTGGCGAAGCCCCCGGGGCCCCTCAGTGGGGAAAGTCGGCGGGGGGGCAGCTCGGCTCAGGGTCGCCGCTGCGCGCGTGTGGTAGGGAAGAAGCCCCATCTCTCGGGACAGTCTGGGTGAGGCAGGGGCTCCGCCCCTCCCCAGCCCAGCTTCCCAGGACCTGGAAGGACCCACGCCTCCTCTGGGCAAGTTGTGCTGGACCTAGAATCCCAAGAATGAACCCAACTCCGTCCTTGCCCAGGGCGTGGTCTGCGGACAGGTCTGGGTAGAGCTGGGGGTCCCGCCCTCCCTGGGGGGGGGGGAGCATGTCTGCCTGGCCCCTGGCAGTGGGGGTCTGGGCCCTGGCCTGGGCAGAGCCTGGCCCTGGGGGCTCGCAGGCTGTTTCCAGGCTCCTGGGTCCCGGCCTCCCGGACTGGGCTCCAGCAGACGCAGGACCTGTTAACTCACCAGGCAGAGCCCACGTCCCTGGGAGCTCTAGGTGCAGGGGTCCCAGAAGCTGAAAACACGGCCAGCTTACAGGGCTTTGTCCAGCGAGGGTGTCACTGGAGACCCCTGCGTCCGGGCCTGAGGTCCTGAGAGCCCAGCACCCCGCACCACTCTCCCCCAGGCAGACTCATGGTGAGGCAGGAAACACGGCCCCTGGGTCTGGGTCCCCGCAGCTCACCCTGGTCCTGGGCCTTGGGAGGTAAAGCTGTCTAGTGAGGGGACAGCAGCAGGCAGAGTGCCCCCCCAGCAGCCTCCCCAGGGCCTCCACACCCCTCTCCAGTCACCAGCCCCCTCTGCCCTCGGCCACCTGCCCTCACCCACCCTGTGGCCTCTTCCAGCCTCCCCTGCTCCCCTGGGGTCCTTACCTTCCTCCTGCCCCACCCCCTTCACATCTCTGCCTCACCAAACCCTGCATCCCTGCCCCGGCACACACACACGTCCCAGCTCACTCTCTCTCTCACACACGCACACATCTCAGCTCACACACACACAGCACACATGTCCCAGCTCACGCACAGCACACACACACATATTTCAGCTCTCTCTCTCTCTCACACACACACACACACATCTCAGCTCTCTCTCTCTCACAGCACACACACACATCTCAGCTCTCTCTCTCTCACACACACCTCCCAGCTCTCACTCTCTCTCACACACACACACACACACACACACATCTCAGCTCTCTCTCTCACAGCACACACACCTCCCAGCTCTCTCTCTCTCTCTCACACACACACACACACCTCCCAGCTCTCACTCTCTCACACACACACAGTACACATGTCCCAGCTCATGCACAGCACACACACACACACATCTCAGCTCTCTCTCACACACACACATGTCCCAGCTGATACACACACAGCACACATGTCCCAGATCACACACATATCACACATGTGCCAGCTCTCACACACATGTACATGTCCCAGCTCACACACACAGTACACATGTCCCAGCTCTCTCTCTCACACACACACATACGCACACAACACACACACATGTCCCAGCTATCTCTCTCTCACACACACACACAACACACATGTCCCAGCTCTCACTCTCACACACACACACACGTCCCAGATCACACACACAGCACACATGTGCCAGCTCTCACACACATGTACATGTCCCAGCTCACACACACACAGCTCACATACACAGCTCTCATACACACACAACACACATGTACCAGCTCTCTCTCTCTCTCACACACACACACATACACACACAACACACATGTCCCAGCTCTCTCTCTCACACACACACACATACACACACAACACACATGTCCCAGCTTATACACAAACAGATCATGCACACACAGAACTCACATACACACAAAACACACACAGCATGCACACACAGAGCACACACACAGCTCACACACACAGCTCTTATACACACACAACACACACAGCATGCACACACACAGAGCATGCACACACACAGCATACACACACAGCTCACACACACAGCTCTCATACACACACAACACACATGTCCCAGCTCTCTCATACACACACAGTACACATGTCCCAGCTCTCTTTCTCTCTCTCTCTCTCACACACACACACAACACACATCCCAGCTTATACACAAACAGATCATGCGCACACACAGCTCACACACACACACAACACACAGCTCTCATACACACACAATACACATGTCCCAGCTCTCTCCCTCTCTCTCTCTCTCTCACACACACACACACACACACGCACGTCCCAGCTGGGCTGCTGCCTCCACCACCATGGCCAGGAGGCCGCACGGAGCTGCAGTGGGGGTGGTCTGGGACAGCCCTCTGCCGGCAGCATGTCAGTTGGGGGTTCCTCATAGGCAGGACCACCCCCCGGGGGTCGGCCCCGGCTCCTGTGAAGGTCACGGGCCCAGGCCGCCTGACGTGCCGGGGTGTGGGCGGCGGGGCTTCCTTGCAGAGGCTTTGGGACAGCGTCCTGTGCCAGTCTCTTCCTGGAGTGGGAGGCAGGCAGAGGAACCTACTCCCTAGGGAGCCCGGCCTTGCCCAGGGGCACCTGGGGCTTGGGGCTGGGAGGGGGGCCCCGTAGGGCTGCCATCCGCTCCTGCACTTCCAGGAATCTCCTCCCAGCAGCCGTCAGATGGGTCCTCGCCCAGGTGCCTGTGCCAGGCGCGCCATGCTAACCCCGGTGCCGAGTGTGGCCAGTGCCCCGCCGTCCTGTGAGCCTGCGGCAAGCCCTGGGCACTCTGTCCCGGGCCAGCGTTCTGGGGCTCTGCGGGTCACCGTCGGTCGGGCGGCTCCACACCTGCAGAATCAGGGCCCTTGCTCAACAGTTATGAAGAATTTACGGCGGCAGCTGAGCACGAACCAGCGCAAGCCGCTCTGAGCTCGGGGAAGCCGGCCTTGGGTCGGCCCCAAGGCGTCTCTCAGAAAATGTGCTTCTTTTCCATGAAAAACAAGCCCGCTGCTTAAAGCAACCACGTGAATGCTGACGGTGAGTTCCTTAAGGAGAAGGGAAAACAGTGCTTCTGCTCCCCGCACCTGTCCGCGGGCCACGGGCCTGCGTGGGCCCTGGTCCTAGAACTCTGGACTGTGGCCCTGGCGGGCGCTGCTGCTCCAAGTCCCTCCCATCTCCCGGGACGCGAGCAGCCCCTCCAGAGCTGGCCGCTTCCTTCCAAGAGGCCCTGAGCACTCCTGGGCCTGGGGCTCCCCGTCCCCTCCAGAGAAGGGTCCTGGTGGCAACGTCCCCTCTCCGAACGGAGCAAGGAGGGGCAGCTGTTTGTGCTCCTCACGGGCTGTGTGGCCTCTGGCAAATCACATGACCTCTCGGTGCCCCCCCCCCCTCCATCGCGCTGAGTACCGCATGGGAGCTGCCGTGTGGTCACTGTGAGGACCAAGCACTGGGAGCTCCTGGACGCAGCGGACGCAAGCGGGCAGGGAGCAGCAGCCTTGGCAATACACTGTGGTTAGCCCACCCAGCTGCCCACAGAAGTGGCCCCAGGCAGACGGAGTTGTGAGCTCCTGTAGGCTCCCCTCAGCCCCGCCAGGACCCTTCCCTGGGCTCTGACGCTGCGTGGGTACCTGGGCGAGGGGACACTCTGCTGCACCTAAGGTTGGGTCTGGGAGGCTCCAAAACGCAGTCGGAGGTCGCGGGAGGTCAGCACCCGCCCGCACAGAGGGGAAGTGGCATCAGCTCTCCCTGGAGTTGGCGGGCACTGGGCACAGTGTGCACTTCTGATGCACCTTCCTATTCCTGCGCACCCAGGAGGCAGCAGGTGATGGCTCAAGTCCCCGGGTCCCTGCCGCCCACTGGGAGACTCGACTGAGTTCCTGGCTTTGGTCTGGCACAGCCCTGGCTCTTCTAGGCCTTTGGGGGGTGCACCAGGGGATGGAAGTGTGCTCTCTTCCCCCTCCATCCCTCTCCCTCTCTCTCTGTTTCCCTCTCCCTCTCTCTCTCTCTCTCTTTCTCCTGCCGTCTTCTCCCCTCTTTCAAACAAAATGGGGAAAAAATCAAAATAAAAAAGGAAAAATCCCCCAGGACAGAAACCTCACGTGGAAGGGTATCACAGCATAAACCCACCAGAGTCTCTTTTGTCAAAATGAAGCAGAGAGGGGGGCCCGGGGCAAGACAGACCTCGTGCTCCCGGTCTCTCGCCGCCCTGGAAGGTGGGAGGCAGGTGTGGGGCGTTCACCTTTCGCATCTTGTCCACGGGCTGGGCCCTGATGATGTCACAGAAGAGTGGGAAGCCGAGCTCCTCCAGCTGGAAGGTGGCCAGGTAGCAGGTCACTGGGGAGACAGGACGGGGCTGGCACGGCGAGGAGGCCGGCACCGCCTCCTCCACAGAGCCCGCCCTTGGATCTTGGGGAGAGTCTGCGGGGGCTTCGCAGGTGCCCTGGGAGGCAGTGGAGCCAAAGGCCAGGGCCCCGCCCCTGCAGGGAGCATGGCAGCTTGTGCTCACTGTCTCACACGTGCAGGGCGCCTGTGGCTTCAAAGCACTTCCCAGATATGATTTCATCTGAGAAACGAGAGAAATCGGGAATCCCAAACGTCCCCGGGGCTGAAAATGAGATCGTTTTGGATTTTTGTTCCATTCTGAGAAGCTGAAATGGCTCCAAGCCGATCGGAACGGGATGAGCCTGGACAAGGAGCCCTCAGCAGGGCAGGCTGCGCTCAGGCCCCTGCTGGGGGGCCCAGACGTGCTGCAGGCCACACAACCCAGGCTGGGCGGCCAGGGACTGCGCACAAGCCCAGCTCTGGACCTGGCATAGGGCGCCTCTCCTCCCTGGCAGCATCCCAGAGCTGGACCCACCTCCCCTGCAGTCCAGTCTTGTCCCCAGTGGCCACCCTGCCAATGAAATGGCACCCTGTGGGCAGGTGTCGGTCGAACCCAAGCAGGAGGCCCGGGCACAGATGTCTCATATTGGGTCTGCCCGGGATCAGCCCACTGTAGCGTCGGGGTTAAAGTTCAGGAAGCCAGGGCTCGGCCGCTGCCTCCCTCCACCCAGGCTGCCTGCTGGGGAGGGCCATGCAGCCTCAGCCAGGCCAGGCCTCCCTCAGGGGCCAGAGTCTCTGGACAGGGACAGCAGAGCCGAGGTCTTTCTGCCGTGAGCCTGGGACAGTGGACCTGAAGTCTCCATGCTCCTGTCTGGGGGGTGAGAAACACACCCACCCTGGCCCCCAACTCACGGCAGCCAGGGAGGGGCTGCTGCAGAAACACGGGGGCTGGACTCCCCAGGCCCAAGCCACACCCATCGGCCACTTCTCACTGGCGGGAGGGCAGCAGGCACAGCTCCCGGGGGTGTGGGATGTGCACGTACCCTCGAAGAGGCTGTAGTCGGCCCACAGGCAGAGCCGGCCAGCCCGCACGTAGAAGGCGTCCACCACGACGGTCAGCAGCTTCTGGTACTCCAGACACCCGGACAGGAGCTCCAGAACAAAGGCCTGCTTCTGCGGGCTCACAGCCTGGAAGAGAAACGGCCAGGGACTGCCGGAACGGACCAGGAGGAGAGCAGGGCCAAGCAGGGGACAGGCCCCCCAGGGCTGGGAAGGGGCAGTTAGCGGGGCCCCCGCCCCTGGACTGCAACATCGGAATGGGCCCGAGGCGGCCCCATGGTTCTCTCAGGCTGGTGACCGCCGGGCGAGTGGACAGAGGAGGTGAACCCACAAAACCATGAGCCGACGGAAAGCATGCAAGAACACAGAGGTCATGCAGGTGCAGTTAGGTGAGAACAGGGCTGGGGGGCAGAGAGGGGATGGGGAGCACAGACGTGCGGGTGCACTTAGGTGAGAACCGGGCTGGAGGGCGGGAGAAGGGATGAGAGGTTGTGGCTAACGGGGACAGAGTTACGTGATCCACTTATAAACGGCACACTTGGGAATGGTTGCGGCAGTAGATTTGGGCTGTGTTTGGTGTAGCGAGTAAAGCCCCTACCTGTGACACCACCATCCCATAGGAGTGTTTGTGTCCTGGCTGCTCCACTTCCCATCCAGCTCTCTGCTATGGCCTGGGAAAGCAGTAGAAGATGGCCCAAGTGCTTGGGCCCCTGCACCTGCATGGGAGACCTGGAAGAAGCTCCTGGCTCCTGGCTTCTGCCTGGCCCGGCCATTGCAGCCACTTAGGGGAATGAATCAGCAGATGGAAGATCTCTATCTCTGTGTCTTTCCCTGTTTCTCTGATTTTCAAAATAAACAAAACAAAATCTTTAAAAGAAAATAGATTTGTCATGTGTATTTTGTCATAATATTTTTTGAAGATATATTTCCAGATATATTCCAGAGAGAGAGAGAGAAAGGGAGAGAAAGAGAGAGAGAGAGAGAGAGGGAGGGAGAGAGATCCTCCATCTGCTGGGGCTGAGCCAGGCTGAAGCCAGGAGCCAGGAGCCTTTTCCGGGTCTCCCACGTGGGTGCAGGGCCCAAGGACTTGGGACATCCTCTGTTGCCTTCCCAGGGTGTTAGCAGGGAGCTGGATAAGAAGTGGAGCAGCCGGGACTTGAACTTGTGCACCTATGGGATTCTGGTGTCGCAGGTGACGGCTCCACACACCACACTACACTGCTGGCCCCCATAATAATTCTTAAACCTGAGTGCATATAAAGGTTTTTACACAAATGGGTTAAAAAATATCTGAAAAGATGGAAGTGCAAACAAGGAAAACATCCGTCTGAAAGCAGGATGGGAGTGGATGTTGGGCCTAGCCTGGATCTGAATCCCAGCTCTGGATCCAGAATACAAACCCTGGGAGATGGTGGGGAGAGCGCAGGGGACTGGGCTCCTGCAGCCAACAGCCTGGGAGACCTGGGTTGAGTTCTGGACACACTGGCCCAGGCCTGGCCATTTGCAGAGTGAACTAGCTGGTGGGAGCTCTCCCTCTCTTTGTTTCTTTAAAAAAAATATGGCAGGGTGGGGGGTGGGGGAGCAAGATGGGAATCAGCATCTCGCAGGAGCGGTTTTGTCCCCTTGGGGTCCATCAAGCTGGCGCTGCAGGTGCTGATGTCCCCAATGACCGGAGGCACATTCTGGTGTTTGAAACCCGTGCATGACCTCATTACTTCATTGGAACAAGTCACCGGCTCTGCAGGTGGAGCATTGCAAAGGAACTAGGTTGTTTTATTCTCTTTTTTTCTTAACTTATTTGACAGAGTTAGACAGTGTGACAGAGAGACAGAAAGAAAGGTCTTCCTTCCATTGGTTCACTCCCCAAATGGCTGCTACGGCCGGAGCTGCAGCGATCCTGGTCTCCCATGTGGTTGCAGGGGCCCAAGCACTTGGGCCATCCTCCACTGCCCTCCCGGGCCACAGCAGAGAGCTGGCCTGGAAGAGGAGCAGCCGGGACTAGAACCCGGCGCCCATATGGAATGCCGACGCCGCAGGTGGAGGATTAACCAAGTGAGCCACGGCGCTGGCCCCAGGAACTAGGTTTTTGAGAACATGCAGGGTTGCCCGCATGGCAGGGGGGAGGCTGGGTGGGACAGGCGGCTGCGGAGCCCTTTCCAGAAGCAGTGTGGAGACAGGTCCCAGGGACCCTGCATTTGCTCCTCCGGGAATCAAGGGAGCCGTCCAGGAAGCAGAGGACATTCATGCCCCAGCTGCTAGGGCGCCGGAACGCCGGGTGGTTCCTCGGTGCTGCCACGGGCACGGCGCGCCCTCCACAGGTGCTCCTGGAGAGCCCCCGAGGAGGGGACAAGGCGGTCAGCACAGGCGAGGTGGACACACTGGGCGTGGGCGGCTCCGTGGGCGCCGGGTGCCTCTGCCCGGTGTGCTGTTTCTCCACGCACGACTTCCTGAATCGGCAAGGGCCACTTCCACGGCAACTTAGAAACGGCTAACGGTTTTCCTTCAGCAAGTTGGTCCTTTCTGGACGTGTCCAGTGCCTTCCTGGGTGTCTGCACTGACAAACGCAGAGCTCAGAGCCGGGGGGCGGACGTGGGGCGGGGTGGCTTGGGGCTCCCACATCCCATCTCCGAGTGCCGGGGTTCAAGTCCTCGTGCTGCTTCTCACCCAGCTTCCTTCCTTTCTTTCTTCTTTTTTTTTTTTTTTTTTTGACAGGCAGAGTGGACAGTGAGAGAGAGAGACAGAGAGAAAGGTCTTCCTTTGCCGTTGGTTCACCCTCCAATGGCCGCCGCGGCCGGCGCGCTGCGGCCGGCGCACCACGCTGATCCGATGGCAGGAGCCAGGAGCCAGGTGCTTTTCCTGGTCTCCCATGGGGTGCAGGGCCCAAGCACCTGGGCCATCCTCCACTGCACTCCCTGGCCACAGCAGAGGGCTGGCCTGGAAGAGGGGCAACCGGGACAGAATCCGGCACCCCGACCGGGACTAGAACCCGGTGTGCCGGCGCCGCTAGGCAGAGGATTAGCCTAGTGAGCCGTGGCGCCGGCTCTCACCCAGCTTCCTGATGTGCACCCAGGAGGCAGCAGGTGGTGGCTTAAGTACTTGGGTCCTTGGCACCCACAAGGGGGACCCGGATTGAGTTCTGACCTCCTGGCTTCGGGCTGGTCCAGCCCTGGCTGGTGTATTTGCAGAGTGAACCAGGCAGACAGAAGTGCTCTCTGGGGCCGGCGCCGCGGCTCACTAGGCTAATCCTCCGCCTTGTGGCGCCGGCACACCGGGTTCTAGTCCCGGTCGGGGCGCCGGATTCTGTCCCGGTTGCCCCTCTTCCAGGCCAGCTCTCTGCTGTGGCCCGGGAGTGCAGTGGAGGATGGCCCAGGTGCTTGGGCCCTGCACCCCATGGGAGACCAGGAGAAGCACCTGGCTCCTGCCTTCGGATCAGCGTGGTGCATCGGCCGCAGCACGCCGGCCGCGGTGGCCGTTGGAGGGTGAACCAACGGCAAAGGAAGACCTTTCTCTCTGTCTCTCTCTCTCACTGTCCACTCTGCCTGTCAAAAAAAAAAAAAAAAAAGTGCTCTCTGTCTGTCTGTCTCTCCCTTTCTCTCTCTGTTGCTCTGCCTTTCAAATAAATAATAATAAACAAGTAAAACTTCTTTTTTAAAAGATTTATTTATTTGAAAGGCAGTTACAGAGAGAGAGAGAGAAAGAGAGAGAGAGAGAATCTTCAATTGCTGGTTCACTCCCCAAATGGCTGCAACAGTTGGGGCTGGGCCAGGCCAGAGCCAGGAACCCGAACTCCATCTGGGTCCCCGCGTAGGTGCAGGGCCCGAGCACTTGGGCCTCATCTGCTGCCTCCCCGGGTGCATCAGCAGGGAGTTGGGTCAGAAGCAGAGGAACCAGCACCCCTATATGCAATTCAGTGGCAGCCCCACCTGCTGGGCCACGACCCCGCCCCCGTCTTTCCCTTCCATTGTTTTCAGACTTGAAACACAGCAGGGCAGTGAGGAAGCCTGAGTGACCTGGAGCCAGCTTCCACCTGTGTGACCAGGAGCATTCTGTCTGGGCAGATGGCGGCGTCCCCGCTGCCTTCCCCGCACCACAGGGGCCAGGAGGCTGAGACCGCCTTCCGCACGCCTCGCCCCTCTGCGTTGCGGCCGCGGTCGGAGCTGTGCCAGGAGACCACCACCAGGAGAGTGGAGGTGCCGGGCAGGCGCTGAGCCTCCCAGGACACAGTCCTGAGCGCCCGGCGGCTGTGTCTCGGCAGTGCCAGGACCTGCCACACAGAGCCGACACTGGTTCTCCCTGCCCTCTCCACGCTTCCAGCACAAGACCAGAAGTCCCGGCTGGCTGCCCGGCTCCTGCTGGAAGGCGGCCCCTGTCGGCCTGGCTGTAGGTTCCCCTCCCCCCAACACCGCAGAGGGTCTCGGCTCAACTCCCAGCTCGTTCTCTGCCCACGCTTCTCCCAGCTTCAAGGCTGTGTCCAGCCCAGTGACCGGGACGCCTCGCTCCTCGCTCCCAAAGCCCCACACCCAGGGCTGCCCCCCCAGCCTCTCCTCTGCCCCCTCCTCACTCTGCTTCCCAGCCCAGCACCCAGAGCAGTCACGTCCCTCAGAACCTTCCAGAACAAGGGCCTGCTGATTACGTGCAAGCGAGCGCCTGCAGCCTGAGTGGGCTGGATCTGCCAGCATGCGCTGGGGGCCAGTGAGTGACAGCTGTGTCCATGCCCAGGCCGGGCCCACGGCCAGGTCCTCACCACCGGGAAAGTCAGGGCACTGGTGCTGGGCTGGCAGCCCCAGGACGTGAGGCGTCCCGCCTGGGAGGCTCTGGGCGCGTCCCTGCAGGAGGTGGTGAGGAGGCTAGCAGGACCCTGGTCCTGAGCCCCCGTCACTGTGTGTGGCACTGTCTTGGCCAGCCACCGCGAGGGCGGCCACGGCGGCCTGGAGGCCTCCACCGTCACTACAGCCTCCTCCCCCGGGCAGGAGTCCACCCGCGTTCCCAGGAATGAGCTTGTCTGCTGGGACCCCGGGTTAGGGTTCGGCGGGGCCGGGTGGAGCCACCTGCCCACAGCACAGGATCTGCAGCTCCATTGGTAACGCCTCCAGTCAGAGACGCGGAGACAGTCAGCCAGAGAAGTGGGC